CAATTTATCAAGTTATTATATAAAGCCTATATAATATATTAATTATAAAGATTAAAATAAGATATAGGGTAATTCATCCGGTTGCAGCACTATACTATTTAAAAAAAGGGTGAAATATAGGCCTTTTACTATAGAAAAATAAAATCGAACCTATATAGTACAAACTAGAAGGTATATATATAGAGTAAATATATATATCTACACACAATACTAGTATATTCTCTTCCTTATAATATTAACCACTAATTCTGTACTATTTTAGGCTGATTTTACTTTAAATCTATATTTATATAGTACTTAAAGCTTTTAATCTATTTTTTAAACGTGAGTTAATACGAATCTTAGTAGTGAGTGACCATAACTACCTCCTAATACCAATACATAAGTAAAAAACAGTAATTTATTAAAATAAGTCAGCATTTTATCTATCTATATTAGGTAATCCTTAGCAGAATTATACTAGCGTAGCACTAAAACTAGTGCTACGATAGTGCTATAGCACTTAGTGCCGTAGCACCATATAATAGCACCAAAATTAGCTTAGTCCCGCAGCACCTCGCAGCACCATATCGCAGCACCAAAATTGCCTTGGTGCTGCGGGACTTGTCAAGGCCTAGTTAAGTTTATCGATATAGTTAATCCCGTTCCGTATTTACATTTTAACTAGCCGACTATATAATCGCTTTAATATAGTAAAACAACCGATATCTAGGGGTTATAAAAGATAAGAGGAGTGCGGAGATATATAAATTGGTATAACCTTATTTTACTCGCAAATTTTATCGAATTTAGGGGTTAAATAGCTTCTATATCCGTCGAGTATTAGGAGACGATACCCCCCTTCTTACGCGAAGAAGTGCTAGGAATAAAGAGCTTTTTAAGCTAACGAAGTCTAATTTTATTAGAGGTCTAACCGTTCGGACTAACTTTAAATCGCTAGTTATCCGGAAGGCTATTAAACTATGATTTAATAAAGACTTTGCCTTTAAAAATAATACACGGAGGGAGGGCCTAACCCGACGAATTTATACACTTAATAGTGGTCACCTATTCGCGATTTCTAGGTTATAAAAGCGAGCGTCGACTATAGAATTCGCTCCTTATTATCACCTTCGTAGTAGCGATTAGCCCTATTACGAAACTAGTCTTATTAAAGTTATAAACGTTATCGGGGTCGATTCTAAATTAAAGGATAGTATTTTAAATAAGTGTAAACCACTCTTAAATAATCTTCGGGTCTTCGCACTTCGCACGTTCGTAATTATAGCGTCTTAAGAATTAGGAGGAGAGGAGAAGGTATCGTTTTATAAAGTTATAAACCTATTTTTCGCCGACCGAAATAACCGGGGTAGTTCCGCGTTATTAAAGTAAAAGATTCGCTATTTCTTATATAGTAGAAGGCCGGGGGGTAGATCTACGAGAGTCTATAGAAAGAATCTATTTTTGAAGAGTTTCCTCCTCGGTTTGTGTTAATTTCTGCGAATTTACGCGAGAATTCGCGCGATTTCTGACATTATTAAGGCGCGTAGTAAGCGTGGAACGGGGTACGTTAAATAAGCGAGCCACTTCACGAATTGATGAGATTTCTTGCTTTTAAAAAGCCTAAATAGTTAATAATATCCTACCCTCTTGCTCTATTGAATTTCGAGAGCTTTGAGAGCGAATTGGTGGCATGGTAGGTGGTTGAATTAATGAAGTGCTAATTAACGGACAATTTTGGGTGAGGTGGCCAGCTGGCTTACATGGCCAGCTCGCTTACCGAATACGTTAGTTTCTTACTTCCGGCCTTAAGGGCCTTTAGTATAGCCTTTTTCTAAGGCACTTTCTTTCGTCGAAGGCGGGCCTAGGCCTACTTAAAATAGGTAAATAGTCGGTTATAGACCCGGAATATATTATATATTATTATCGCTTTAATCTTTAATAGGCTAACGGTCTTTTTATAGAAAGGCTTTATAATATAGAGTAAGTATTCGATCTACCGCTACTCGCTTTTACTTAGCTAGAATTCTAAGCGCTAATATTCTATATAATATCTTTAGTAGCTACCGGAAAGTCGATTAGTACGCTAGAGTATAAGATATATTAAGTTCTACTAAGTTCGTATATCCTAGATCGGAGTAAGCCTCGGTTCTTCACTTTATAGATTTAGAAATACCTCCCGCCGCTATAGACTAGTATTAATAAAAACTATTAGAATACTTTATTACTTTACCTTAGCTAGCGTATAAATAATTCCGTTTTATCTCTTTACTTATTAAAGAATACTCCCGTTTTCTTCTAACTAGACTATTACCGTTTTATTATTTTTTAGATTAGCCTTTATTAGGCTAAGGAGATCCTTTAGACTTAATTAAATTATATAAGTAAGATATAGAACCCGTATAATTTCGGTAAAATGAGGAAGCTCTATCCGTTTAATTAAATTATATAGATTATTAACTAATGTCTTATTATTTAACGCGTTATCTATAGTGATTATAATTACTCGATTTATAATATTCTACTACTAAAGAACCTTAAGGAGAATTCCTATAAGATTAGAGCCTATATACTAGCCGTAAACTAGTATAAAACCTAGAAGGATCTTATTATAATCCTAATTAGTATCTATAAAATAGCCTATTATAACTATAAACACCTATTAGAAGGGCGAAGTCTAATAATTAAGGGTAATTAATAACTTTACTCTAGCTAGGAGTAGAGAAAGAAGCTTTTACTAATCTATATAGACGATTAACTAGAGCTAACGCCGCGCGGTCTTTAGTAATAGAAGGGTAAGCTTCTATTAAGAAAGCTAAGCCTCTATAATAAGATCTTCGAATTCTTTATACCGGAGGACCTTTGAATAGAAGACGTGAGTTCGCTATAAATTTAACTTAAGCTCTTTCGAATCGCTCTTAGTTAAAGACCTTACGGGTAGTTAGGCGAGTAGTCTAAATATAATAAAAGTATTAGAATTAGATAGATAGAATATAGAATTAGATATATATAATACCGTAAGTTCGAGCGATTACTATATATATACGACTAGATAAATATATAGCGAGTGACTTCGAACTATTTACTAATAAGGATAGGTATAAAATTTCTTTTCTATGTCTCCGATAGAGTGCTATTAGTTTCCTAGTTTAGAAGTAGGCTACTTAATTAAAGTGCTCCTAAGCGGTAGAGGTATACCTTTTATTAAAGTTTACTTTACGTAGCGGAGGGTATAGTTATACACCTACTATATAACGCCACCACTTAATAAAGTCGGCTTTATTTAATAAAGTCTAAAGAACCTAGAACTTTTAATATTTAGGACCGATACGATAGAGGGTTAGAGGAATCGGATTAGGCTCTATTTAGATAATTAAAGATTCGGGCCTATTATAGATCGGCTACTAGCTAATTAAATAATCTAGCGTAAGGGGCTCGTTAAGGATACTAATACTATAGACTAAAGAAGGTAGAGGGTTTCCCGCTTAGGAGAACGAAACCTAGGATAATAGGCTACCCTTAGTATATAGTTTATATTAAGATATACTCGAGTTATAATTATACTAAAATAGAAGAGGGTATAAAAAGGATATCTCTAAGGCCTACCTTTATAATTAGGAGAGTCGCGTCTAGCTACTAGTAGATTCTAAATAATAAGTAGCGCGACTACCTATTATAAATAGGTAATAACCCACTTATTATTTCTCACTTATTAGCTTATTTAATAGGAATCCCGCGGGACTCCTATATAAAGGGGAAGTTAATAGATCTAGGGGTATCTAGAATCCCCTATAACTTTAATTAGAAAATCTTCACTTTTAAACCTACTTTATCCTAAAATTCTATAATAACTATATAGTAGAGAATAGTGATTCTAAGATAAAAATAAATAACTTAGGGGTAACATTTCTTATAGTATAGGAATTAATTATATTTTACTATATATTTATCGAATTTTTACTATCGTAATAATATATAAGAAATATAGTCTAGTACCTTATATAAATATATAAATATTACTTAACCACTTCCACTAAATACTATATTTATATCTCTTTTATACCTATAGGCGATAATAGTCTATTATATACCTTTTTTTTTTAGAGGAAGATACTTTCAATATAGACTTAAGTTATTTATACACTTAATTATAGACTATATTATATAAAAAAACCACGTTAGTTAATATTAAAGGTAGGGACGCTTATACACCTATAAATAATAGTATTTTATCTGATTACTTTGCAGATTTATATAGCCGAAAGAGGAAATTCTTAGCAAAATTATGCTAGCGTGGGACTATATAGGAGTCCTATAAGTCCCACGGGAGTCCTATAGGACTAATAGGGTTATGGGACCAAAATTTCTTTAGTCCTATGGGAGTAGATGGGACCAGGATATGGGACCAAAAAATTTTTAGTCCCATGGGAGTTGGCAAGGCCTAGCGGTTATGAGGTCTATCATCCGGTTGTAGCACTATACTATTTTAAAAAAGGGTGAAATATAGGCTTTCACTATAGAAAAATAAAATTGAACCTATAAGGTATAAACTAGAAGGTATATATATAGAGTAACTATATATATCTATATATAATACTAATATATAAGTAAAAAATAGGAATTTATCAAAATAAGTTAGCATTTTATCCATCTATTTTAGGTAATCCTTAGTAGAATTATACTAGCGTAGCACTAAAACTAGTGCTGCGACGGTACTATAGCACTTAGTGCCGTAGCACTATACAATAGCACCAAAATTGGCTTGGTGCTGCGGGACTTGTCAAGGCCTATATGGGACCAAATGGTGGGAGTTAGCAAGGTCTAGGTATATAGTCTACTGTTAGAATAAAAGTCTTGTCTTACCGTCTTTATCTTTATAGATTGATATCTTAGGATAGAGATTTGAAATAAGATATCCGGAAATTCTATATTTAACACGGCACAAAGCACAACGGGAGTATACCTGACTAAATTTTGCCAGGGGCCTTGCCAAAAGAAAAAACCGCCACTACACTCACTGATCAACCAGTCTTGGTCTGAGAGGTATTCCCCGCGCTATCATTAAGCTCATTAGGCTTCGGCTCGTCCGCAGCACCGAATCCATACTGAATCGCGACACACTCAATATCCTCGTCAGAAAGGAAAGGTAGCTCATTTGCAGCGCGCAAATAGCTTATATTTTCCGAGAACCCCTTAGCAACTATCAGATCAATTTCCTCCAGAGAACGGCGGACAGTCTCGGGATACAAAAAGTAGATAACGGGTAAAAAGCAAGCGTTCATCGCTGCAAAGAAGAGATATGTTCCCCATTTAATCTTTTTGATCATCATCGGAGTCACCATAACAATCAAAAAGTTGAAAAGCCAGTTGGAGCATGTTGAAAACGCGTTAGCTTTGGCACGGGTCTTGATCGGGCTGATCTCAGCCGGGTACAACCTAGAAGTGCATCAGTAACATATCAATTTCATATCTAGGCCCATAACACACCAGGGCAATGGCAACCAAGTAGCACCAAAGCTAGCAATGTAGATAAAAAGACCGAAGGCAGCACCCTTGGCTGGGCCGGCCTTGTCCGGAACCAAGCAAGCAAAGGTGATGAGCATTGAGACCATCTGGCCAACGGTACCGTAGAGGAAAAGCTTCCGACGACCGACCCGTTCAATCAAAAACCAAGAAGCAATGGCAAAGATAGAGTAGACAATCATGTTGACACCACCGAGAATAGATGGAAGCTTTCCCTCCAGCTTGATCGAGTCTCTGAAGAGGATAGGTAAATAGTAGATAACAGCATTGCAGCCACCAATCTGCTGCATGAGCTGGGACGAAACTCCGAGGAGCATACGACGAAAGTGCTGAGTCTTGCCACCGGCAAAGACGGCGAACATTGGGGTGGTCTTCCCCATCTGACCAGAGGCGCGGATAGAATCCATAATGATGTGCTTTTGTAGTGTCACCTCGTGGGAGTCCGGTTCGGCGCCCAGCAGTGCAGCAATCACTTTCTCACCTTCTCCATAGCGCTCACGCGTGAAAAGCCAGCGCGGCGACTCGGGCAGAAGGATCATACCGACGATAATGAACAAGCCAAACACGCACTGGAAGGCAATAGGGAAACGCTATATCACATCGGGGGGACCATATGAGGCGCCAAAATCAATCCAATAAGCAACCAGTGTACCAATGGCAATGGTACTACCCTCTATACAGATGAGAAGACCACGGTTTGAGGTCCGAGAGCACTCTAGATTCAAAGTTAGTGGTCTGACTCTGCGCTAAAAGGAGCCTTTGCTAATTCATTGAATACCTACCGGCCTGATAGGTGGGGATGGTAGAAGTGTTCATTCCGTTACCCACACCAGTGATTATACGCCCGATAGTAAAATGTGCGAGAGGCTGCTTGCCGGCATAAGAAGTCACCTGTACAATAACACCGAGGATCATGATAATGGCACCCCTGATTATACCCCTGCGACGACCGAGCCAGTCACCCCATATGAGCATGAAGATGGCACCAAAAAGACAGCCTGTGGTAATTTTAGTACCAAACTGAAAACCAGGACCAGTACTAACCCCCAAAGGGACTTACCAATCTCATAAAGAGCAGTGACGGTGCCCTGCATAGTTGCATTGCCTTTCAACTCGGTCATGATATCAGTGAAGGCTTGAGCGTCAATGATACCACTCATGATACCATCTACAGTAGATCTTATTAGCACAGAACTATGTTTAGTTCAAATCAAGATCACATAAGATCATAACCGAATAACAGAAAACCCAGTGTCGCAATTGTAGTAACTGCACGCGACAAGAGCTGTCCCGACATGCCGGCGAAGGTGGGAACAACCATGGTGGTTCAAGGTATCCCAATCCATATAATGATATTGTCAGATCCGATGAAAGCTGTGGATGTTCAATACTATCTGGGCGGCTATCTATGAATAGATGCTGTTCAAGTAAAGAAAGAGAAGGGAAGGAACAAGGCTTCATGCAACTCAGAAGGCAGTCCCTGTGGAGGAAACACATCCCTCTTTATATAGACTATGCGTGTTCCCCGCAGGGATTTCTCCAGGGAAACTGGAGGATGGGATGATACCCCCACCAATGTCGGCATGTTAAGGGAAAAGGGGCAGAGAAGAAGAAAAGAAGTTAAGCCGAGGGCAGTTGTATACCTGACTGGGAAAGTGGACCAAATACAAATCTCACGTGCATGTAATAAGCCGCAGGTAGAGACTTTAAAAATAAGCCTATAAAGCTATGATATTGCGTTTAAGCTGAGAATGAAATCTTTATTTTTTATTTTTTAGGGAATATGCTATATTCTATATATTCTACATATTCTATGAGTCTACATAGTCTACATCTATGCAATTGGAGTTGGATATTCCTATTCCACCCTACCACGTGAGACCTGATTCAAAGCCTCATTTACCCAGTTAGTACTTCACTAAGCCAAATCCAATGTGGCTTGATGCGCCATGCTTCTCAAACTGCAGGATTCCGAAGGCTTAGAATATTCTTCTCCTTTTGTAAGCTTATGATTTTCATGTACAAGGTGGTATATTTATATATATTTATATCTATATTCCCCTATTTTATAAGAATCCATTTTGATCCATTTCGATATTCGAATCCGATTAGAAACCTGGTCCTCACCCTCCCCGGAGTAGTGGCATACATAGGAGGAGGGGAGTAATCATGTGAAATTAATTAAATCCAATGCAACATCTCTAATAGGAACCTTGGCAAAATAATATGAAATATATGCCTTGTATCTTCAAAGAGGCTGAAAACAAATTGAGATTCCACCACCAGAGCTATGGACATATGGACCATAACACAAGTCCAAACGCCAACGAAAAACTCCTTGGAGGTAAAAAAAACACCCCCGAAATATGGAATATAAGACCAGTTCTGTACACAATAGGAATGCGCGACGAGACACCTCGTCCCCACTCCCCACTTTCAATGTCGACGGGTTGCTCCTAGCTCATCCTGGGGAAGCACCTTTCATAGGAAACAGTGCAAAATGATTGTGAAAGACCTAGCTGCTAGGTTTGGATAATAACACCTTTGCGGCCCATCGCTTCTTCAATATGGAACCCAAAGACGAGCCGGTAGAGGTCACGAAGCCAGGAGTACTGGCCACTTTGCAGCATTGCCTGACATGCATGCGCGACATCAATGGCACCCACCCGGGCTTGCAGTCCAACACTTCTGAACGTCGGGTCAAATGCCACTACCTTTCTATAATTCTTCAATAACGACGTCTGCCACGCCGCAGAGCCAAATGCATCCGAGGGAAGTGATTTCACAAAGGACGAGAGATTCTGGCTCCCACCCCGTTGATACCCACTAATGATGGCAGCCTTGGTGATCAGGATCTTTAATCGTGTGAGGTTCGGGTCTTCCGAGATAGTGGTCACGGTGTTGGCCGAGGACACTGTGTGACCGGATGACCGGGACTGCTCCGAAATACTGGATGCATTGGATGACCACTTGGTATGAGGCTTATTATGCCCGTTCCCATAACCTAATACGAGTATGTTGGGAATCGGAGCCTCGTCAGGCGAGGTCGTTGCAATGTCCTCGAATATAGTGGTTGGAGTCTCGGGGTTGCCGAGTTGGCTCATTGGGTCATCACCGAAATCCAGCTCCGACTGCTGCGAGGTTTGATGAAATGCCTGTGAAAACGTGGTTTGGCTCGGTCGAGGGGTTCCCCGATCCGAGTTGCGCAAATTATGGAGGGTCCAGCCCTCGCGGAAGAGATCGCAAAGCTCCCAGCAAGCTTGAACCGCAGACCCTAGCAACTCCTCATCCAGTGGCTTCTCTTCCCTCTTGCTCTGGCGAATGCTGAACAGCATCTCGGCCAATGTCCAACATGCACTCAGCAGAGAGTCTGTCTCCGTGATGCGGGTGCGCTGCTTCATGAGACGGTGGCACAAGGTAATATAAAAATCCAAGGTTCTTTCACGGAAGGCATCGGGAAGATTTCGATCGTGAGTGTTGTAAAGGTGATTATTCAGTTCAAAACTCACTCGTAAGACCGAGTCAGATAGGTCTGTGTCGCGAATACGGGCCTCAAATAGCGCCTGGCAGAAATCTCGACAGAGATCAAGAGTCGGATGGATCTGTGATGCATAGTCGTCGTCGCGTGTGTCATAAAGCTTCTGACAAAGCCTCCAACATGACCGCCATGCATCCTCTTGCATATCATAGTTGTGGGATTTGAGAAGACGTTCTCGATGGATATAACTAAGATTGGCCAGCGTATTACATAGTGTCCAGCATTCGTCAAGAGCAGCTCTTAGGGCATTGATTTCGGCCTCTTTGCTTGTTAGTCCTGGATTAGAATTAGTATCATTTGTTAGGACTGAAATCCATCTGCGTTCATGGCTATACCTTCAGGGATATCTTGAAACAGGGTCAGCAAGGGCTGTCATGAATCAAAGCATGACATGAAAGAAATCGGCTATAGTACCTTGCAAGCTACTCGAACGGGTGCGTCTCTCAAATTCCTCAAACTCATGTCTTGTTTGTGCACGTGGCGTCGCCCGCTCGGTGCAGTCGTTGGCGAGACTAATGGATGTTGTTAATGGGGGTGGCGATATTGGACTATTGCCAAACTGTAGGGGACCAAATCCATTAGCCCCATATATAAAACGGGGGAAGACTGTCATGAAAATACCTTCCTCCTTGTAGGTACATTTATTATATCAGTTTGCTCATCTGAACTGACTGATGGCGACTGTGACTTCTCCGTGCCCTCGAAAGTGGGCTGCATTGGCGCCTAGGTAGATCCACCATTAGCCAACGCGGCAACAGTCTTGATGGGATTCGTACAAAATCACCAAATCCTGGCGGAGCATGTATCACCGACTGCGGAGGTTCATCGTCATCCGATCTTGTGCTGTTTCCCAAATGATTTGGATATTCGGTTTGGATCTACACAGTGTGAGCCCAACTGCAATGTATAGCCCCACACACATTGTACATACCGTAAGCTCTGGTTGAGAAGGAACCGCAGATCCACGTATAGGTTCGGGAGAGCTATCATCTCCATTTGAATCGCAATCCTCACAATCATCGCAATCCTCTTCATTGGTCGTGGCCCCTGATAAGTTCTTTATCGGCTCAGAAGCGGAGAAGTGGGAACTCTCATTCCCATCGAAGACCCCGTCAAGAGACCTGTTTACGCATTAGCGATACCCCGAGAAACCAGTAACTGTCTTACATTGAAACCGAGTGTGGGGAATAGTAAACCGGACTTGCGGAGTTGACGCGGTATGGTAGAACAGATAGCGGCGACCTGACGGCCATGGCCGAATGTATATGGGATATAAGAAAACAAAGCTCAAGGGAAGGGGAAAAAAGAGATGGGGGGAGCAACACTCGAGGGAGCTGAGCCCGGTCCCTTATCGCTTACCTAGCGCATACTACACGTGATAGTCTGTTTCTTCAATACATCTTCATACTTAGATGGTTAGGATGGGAGGAGGGTATATCGGATACGGCGCTGAATATCAAGTTCCGATTTGACACTGACAATGACCTAATATGTAAATTGAGGGTCAATTGCGGGAAGAAAGACCTTGAGAAAAGTGTAGTGTGAAGCAATTGTATAACTATTGTTGTAATACATCTTCGCTCTCTAATTGGCTGAAACCGATGGAAGCGCTTTTGTCCTGGATGCGGTATAGTCCGATGCAGCTCCCCTCCATATGAGTGGCCGATAGAAGTTGAGATGCATGCTCATCACGGCGCCTATTTAACCCAGGAATTTAGAAATTTAGAAATTAGGAAACTTGGGGGAATTTTCTGGGTCTTTTTGGTTTGGGAAAACCCCAAAGTGAAAACCAACAGCGCATCGGATGCCCTGTGAAACCGGGACAGATACGGAGTAGATAGATCCATATTGGGTATACTGCAGATCTAGAATGGGTCTCGAACTCTTGAGATCATCGGAGGTGTTCAAGCGGGGGATTTGCCAATTTATATCGGGCTAGACTGTTGGGAACCCATCTTGATGTATACTCCGTGAGTACTATTTACATATTTTATATACGTTTGTTTTCTAGAGGTAAAATCGACCTGGTAATTGCTAGGAACATAGAAATGCCTCCCAATGTCCAAGGCCAGAACAGAGGACCAATTCACTCTACAAGTCTGGCAACGACTATACTTCTAGCCAACAAGGGCCAAAATGCAGAGAAATCGACAACACCACAAGGCTCCCCGAGGGACAAAGAACCAAGCAGCGGCGTTCGGGTAAAAAAAACAGGGTTGGGCTACGAATGGTGCTTGCCCAATGTTGGTGGGTCAGACTGCAAACCGCTGAGCTGTAAAATCCATTGAAGATAATAATAACCAAAACGCAAATACCTCCCTTGACGCCATATGTGTAGAGTGCAACGCCGCCCTAAATGCAAATACTGGAAGAAACACCTGTGAGGAACTTCGTCCCATCTCCGGCGGAGCCTGGGTCACCCGTCGCATCTCAAACCACTTCACTGCCCCCAAAGAAATCTCAAGCTGGCAGAATTTGAGTGTGGAGGCTAGCCAAAACCAATGACCACGCCACTAAGCTCAAAAGGCTGGTGTTTCTTCGTTTGCAAACTTCAACATGCTCCCAATGTCTCCTAGCCGACAGAATGGAAAAGGTGGATGATCGGCCCAACATGATCGGGTAGTAGGGGAGCATGGAGTATTTGTGTGATCTTTTGACAGGAAGGCCTCGGCTTGAAGTCGATAAAAGATTGACTCGCCTGAGAAGATGATTGGCTTATACTTGAGCCTTGGAGCGATCTTTCTCGGCGGAGTTGTAACTGCGCAAAATGAGCAACAATCCCTAGAATAACAAAACAAAAGGAGACGTACCGGAGAAGTTTCTCGATCAGATCAACGTGGGTCATGATCATTCGTCGGCAGCAGTACCGTCTGCAGCCAAGCTGGTCCATAGCGTCGCTGTAAAAGAGTTTATTAGCCAGGAACATAGGTGATATACTGGAGACTGTCATACCCATCTGGAACACCGTCGTCCAAAAGCTGCAGGTAACGCTCCCAGAGGTCACCGACGACCTACATCGGAAGTTTAGTAAAGGATCAATACATCACTCAAAAACAGCAGCTTACCTTGCCACAGGAGAAACAACGGACGGGAATAATCATTTTGGCGATTCAGCTTAGCAGATGATCCGGAGTATGAGAAATGAGTAAACAAGGTCGATTGGAGGTGAATGATGTCGCTTTGAGCCAGACTTTTTTTCCCGCGAAGATTGAAGGCCGATCTAACCCAATCAGGAGAACTGCGATTTTCTGCCAATAATCCCCGCCCTATTTTTCCCTTGGGAAAAAAAGTAGACGGATCTGCCATGAAGATCTCCAGACTCAAGTCCTTACAACTGTGCCCCAAATTTGTAAGCGCTATGATTGTCTGAGTCGCTCAACTTACATTCGAACGTTTTGATTCTTCTCTTCCTCGGTTCTGCTTCACACGCAAAAATGGCGGCCAATCAATCAGCACGACAGCAAAAACGATCCCGGCTTAGCGATGCGGCCTCCGAGAAGCCTGCCCGGCCCAATGAAGTGCGATCTAAAAGGCGCAGAGTCTCCGGAGCCAATGAGAACCAAACCCAGCAGACAGTCGAACCAACCGACGGTGTGAAGGAGGTTTCCAATGGCGATGCCCAGACACAGGATGTTGAGACCAAACAAAAAGGCCCCGCGCCGTGGTCTTTCTCACGTCCCGTTGGCGGTCGCTACAACAATTTAGATCCAATTCTGACCGATGATGAAGCGTGAGGACTATTTCTGTCGACAGATAGTGAGACACATTCTGACCTTTTTCTATCATAGATATCTCCTTGTCGGACTTGACACGGCCGTTCAAGTATTTGCAACCTCAACCTCTCGCCTATCACGTACGTTGCAAATGGAGGCTGGCCAGCAGATCATTGGGTTCAGCATCTGCCCCGAGGACCAGGAAAGCATCTATATCTTCACTTCTTCGGGCTCTATCAGCAAATGGAATTGGAGTTCTGGAAAGCGCATCGCACGCTGGGAGACCACCTGCGCAACCGTTTCAATGAGTCTAGCCTCGGTGGGCAAAGAAGGAAATGCTGCTGCTATTTCCTTCTCCATCATCTCGCAAAAGGATGGAAAAAGACAGATCTCGATCAACACACTGGGAGACAAGAAGATCCAAGGTACCACCGCCCTCGAGACTAGCCAGAAGATCAATAGCATCAAGGTCACCCACGATGGCCGAGTGATCATCGCTAGTGATGGTAAGCATCTATTTATGGGTACTACAACCAGCGCAGAGCTCGAGAACCTCGAGACTGTTCAGTACGCATGGCGCGAGGCGACCCTTCCTGTCAATGCGACTTGCTTTGACATCCAGATCCAAGGCTCGGAATCCATCGATCTAGCAGTAGGAGAGAGCGGCGGTTCTATCCTCATTTACCAGAATGTCTTGAATACCCTATTTGGCAAGGATCTCAGTGAGAAGAAGTCTTCGCCCAGGAAGTTGCATTGGCACCGAGGCTCTGTGAACACCGTGCGTTGGTCTAAAGACGGTATGTCCACTTGTATATATGTTTTTGAAAGAAAGAGATTGCTCACATTCATCAGGAAACTACATCATCTCGGGTGGTCAGGAGTCGGTTATGGTTCTCTGGCAATTGGACACTGGCCGGAAGCAATTCCTCCCCCATCTTTCCTCTCCCATCTGCAACATCGTCGTCTCCACCAGTGGCAGCTCATATGTGGTTAAATTGGCCGATAACTCAGTCATGGTCTTGTCGACGAGAGAATTGCAACCTCTCACTACCATCACAGGATTGCAATTGTGCCCAGACGTGTCGGGCTCTGTCGAATCTTCCAAGGGGTCTGTTGTGGCGAAATTGCACCCGCAGCAACCAGAGCGGCTGATTGTGGCCGTCCCGGCTTCCCACCAGCTTACTCAAAACCAACATGGCTCTCAGCCTGCAAATGCGGCCGTGCTTCAGACATATGATATCCGTGCCAACTCCAATATCTCCCGCCAAGCCCTTGCGCGAACCAATGCGACTACCTTGAGTGTCAGCCCTGAAGGGTCTCAAATTGTTGCACCCGATGTGAAGCACTTGGATATAGTGCATGATGCGAAGTGGTTGGCTACGGTTGATACCTGGGCCCCTCATCCTCAGGACGTAGAAGCCCTGGATCGCTCTTCTAATGCTAAATCCACTGCCACCCTCCGTCCGGAGGTCTTTTTGAAGTTCTGGAAGTGGGACGCTTCCTCTGACACATGGGAACTGGTCACACGCGTTGACGGTCCTCATTTCTCTAAGAATCACCACTCAGCGGTGCTTGGTCTAGTGGCTCGGCCCGGTGCCCATGAGTTTGCAACTCTAGGTTCCGACTCTGTTCTCCGCTTCTGGTGTCCAACTGCGAAGTACCGAAGCGGTCTGAAAGCCAAAGACCAACCAGAGCAGCCTTTAAACACGTGGAAGTGCCGTGGCACCGTTGACCTGGAGGGATGTCTCAATTCTACTGAAAATTCTCCTCTGGATGCGGCTTGTATGAGTTTCTCCGAGGATGGCTCAGTACTGGCCGTCTGCCTGCCGTCGACATCGGCTGCAAATGATGGTCTTGTTCTCCTGATCGATGCACGAAACTGCTCTGTGCACTACCGACGCACCGGTGTTTTCCTTGGAAACCCCTGCTCAACGAGTTTCCTGGGAAGTCATTTGATTGTTGCTTCTACTCACTCGGTGGCTGTCTGGGACACAGTCGACGATGTCGTTAAGACTATCCAGTCGTCAGAGTCCGTAGATTCGCCTGCCGGGAACTCACAGCTCATTGCCGTGAATGCCAGGACGAAGTCATTGGCAATTGTTACGAGTTCGTCACACAAGAAACGACGCAAGGTGCGATTCCAAATCAAGATCTACGACGTCCCATCCTTTGAGGTTGTCTTCCAGGAAACCCTGCAGACCTCCCCAGTTGCACTGCTCTCAGATGCTTATTCCGGCGATTACATCGTCGTTGACTCCGCGGCAACTGTGCAGCGACTCGGCTGTCTGGACAAGGCTTCCCAGAAGAGCCAGAACAACCAGTCTCGTGATGTGACCGGCCAAATCGACAATGGATTGGCAACTCTCTTCAGTCGTGGACCGGAAAGGCCACTCGCTGAATCTGACGACGTAGAAGAATTTTCTGCTCAAACCAAGGGACTGGCTAGTGTCTTTGGTGAGACTCCATCGTTCTCCTTGCCTGCTATTGGGGTCCTTTTCAGGAACGTGGTCCAAACACTCGGCGCCAACTAAGCTGATGGCTTTGGTCCATGATGGTTTCTTATTCGGTGCACAGGTGTAGCGGTTGACAGGGATTTTCTGTTTTGAACATTGGAATTGTGAACAGCGAACAATGTATATGTATATGGTCACATTAGTTAGTTAGGGACCCCCAAAAACTTGATGATTTATCTTTTACTACAGAAGTCTCTCGTGGTGTCGACCATCTCGTAATCATCCAAGAGTGTTTTCTCTTATTCCTTACAGTAAAATTTCATTTGCTATCCTAAAATGGGGGTAATAAACGCTGTTTAGCTAAACCGAATCTACGCCTTGCCACCAGGGCAGACAGTTTTCAGATTTGTCCCAAGGTAAAATCAAGCAACGCCTTCCTTCCGTGGACATGAGTCAAGTATGCATCCAATTCGTGATCATCGTCGATTGAGAATGGAATCTCGTTCCCTTCCTCATCCCTGTCAATGCCCTCGATTCGGGTGATGATTGAATAGGGATACCTGGCGCCGATCAATTGCCGGAGCTCTTCCACTGTTCGGGTGGCTAGTTTTTCGAGCCAGGGTTTTTGGGTTGTTTCTTGCGACTGGTCTCTCGAACCAACCTGGAACCAGATGGGAGTATGTAGTAGTGCAGAACTGAGCATAGGGTCTACATATTCAAAACCATTGCCTGCGTCGTGGTGTGGATTGGCTGAGAAGGATGGGTCGTTCGCAGCCTGGAGTAGTGAAGGGTCAATTTGCATATCGCCAATCTCAGTAGCCGTAATGGGTGCACTGGCCAGCGCCTGAGAGGCCAAAGTACTAATTCCATTGCTAATCTCGTTGCTTAGCATGCCGCCCATAGAGGAGGTTGTCGGGGTTGAGTTTCGAGACTCAGCACGCGCCGAGGATCTCTTACGTGCCGGATCCCGTTTCGTCTGGTCGTCTCGAAGTCTCTTCATGACATCGCGACAGAGTACTTCCAGAGCCTTTAGTTTGTTGCCGTGATCTGGGTCAACTGGCCCCGGCGCAAGGATTTGTTGAAGCAGCTCCGAGTTCGCAATCCATTGCTCTTTGAGCTCTCTCCAGTGTTCATCGCCGGCCTCTAACTTGCTTGTGAAATGATCCACCTTCAAGGTGTCATAGAACGCATTTCGAATCTGTCGACTTTCTTCCGGGTTGATCCCCAGGGCGTTCTTCGCCTCCGCGATTGTCATGCGTCTCTCCAGAGTCCGCATTCGTTTGGTGACATCGGTGCACACAACATCGAGTGCAAGGGCCTTTGCGTCGCGTTGGGTAGGATCTGTATTAAACACCTGTTGAAGATGCGCGGACTCTTGGATCAATTTGTCTTTCGCAGCTTGCCATCTCTCAGGGCCAGCAGCGGTTTTCTTGATGAAGCCTGCTTCTTCGCAGATTCGCTGGAAATGGTCTCTGATCTGGCGATACATAGTGTTGTCTAGGTTGAGGTACTGCTTGCTCTCATCGATGGTTGTCTCCGACGGAAAGCGTGGAGGCCCCGGAGGGTCAGCCGGTAGCCCGGCCCATCCTCGAGTTCGACGGCGACGTTTTCGCGATGCCCAACGCTCTGCACTTTCGGTTTTTAGGCGGTCTAGTCGCTCTTGGCGTTTTGCGATAACCTCTGGTGAGAGAGCGGGGGACTCAGTGGTTGGGCGTTCAGCGTCTGGTTGTGTAGGGAGAGGATGAGGATCATCGAGTGCGCTTTCGACCTTGTATACCTCCTGTTGCAAGGCGAGTAAACCCTCATCCTCCGGTGGGACAGCTTGTTCCTCGACATTTGACTGCGACTTCATTCCGTTGGGGACTCGCAGCAGCCATCGATTCTTTGCGCGCACTCGCATTAATTCTCTCTCTTTAATCTCAAAGCCTTCATCATTCAAGATACGAAGCATATCCCGCTGGCTTGTGTTCCGTTCCCAAAGCTGTTTGACTCGGGCGACGAGCTCGATATTTTTGTGCGCTGGATTTTGTTTCGAGGGAAAGCCCCATCGTTTGAACTGAGTCTGAAAGGCACGTTTGCTATGAAGTGACGAAAATCAATTGATGTCTAACAGATGAAAGCGAGGATATACACTTACCTTGGCGCAAACTGACAAGCAGTCCGCATGTAGTCCATGATCTCCTCCAACGCCTTCTTTTCCTGTATGTACATCTGGAAGCAGATTTCCCGCTTTCCGGACCAATCGTACACCATGATGAAGGAGGCGCTCCCCTCCGTGGAGGCGCGTCTGTTGGAAGAAATAGATAGAGCTGGAAGATGTGGAGCTTATCAGGCGGTTGTTGTCGCTGCTGTGCGCCGTAGTCCCTTGGGGAAATTTGGGGAAGACGCGGACAATGCAGTTTGGGCACGTGACTAAAATAATATATCCCTTGACAACATTGACAACGTTGGCATTTACATTTACAGAGCATTATTGAATAATTGTATGAATTTCATTTCATAATTTGGTCTGGTACCATCGGGGAATCATATCCCACACTTCTCGTTTCCCATGCATGAAATAAATGCCCTTGGAAATGCTATGTCCCTATCCCTAGGACACTCGACCTGCAATCGCCTAGAGATGCCAAACGCATGCGTTGCAAAGACAGCAATCCAGACGCCCGTGTATCCTGCTCATATCGAGCGGTATCCCCGTAAAGGTGCAAAAAAAAGAAAAGAAAACTCCCAGATCAAACACCAGGGGAACACTCAAATCGCCCGCTCATTGGAAGTATGAACTTGGAACAAAAAAGAAAAGGGGATAAAACAAAGGAAAATAAACAAAGGAAAAAAACGACGAAAGATGTCAGAATCAATGAAGTTTCTTGATCTTACGTCGCAGTTTGAACACTCGAGTTCGAAGCCAAGTCATGAAGAGAACCCATGTGCTTTTGGATTGGGATTTCCACGAGGCCGACGGTTCTTGGGTCACATGTACGGATCTTTGGGGTTTCTCAGAGATCTCCTCCCTAGACTGTACGGGAGACTCGGGATCTTCCGACATGTGTCGCTTCAAGCGACGCCGGGAGCCCCTCTCTTCGGCTTTGATCTGTTGTTTTTCAAGCCGGCGGTTTTTGGCGGCTTCTTTATCCTCAAAGGCCTGGCGGGCAGCCTGAACTGTGGCTGCACGGGAGATAGGATCAGTGCTAGTTCGGGTTCGGGATCGGAAAACGAAGTCGAGAGAGGTTCTGGACATCGGAGATGCAGTACCATCAGTCTCCCGGGAATATCCAAAGGACGGTCGACTGGTCACATTGGTCTGTGAAATCCCGGGGAGACGGGTAAAAGAATCATCTTGGATCTGCAATGACAGCCGGGGTAGGGCCGGGCCCGAAGAAGTACGGGTTTCTGGGATAGACGCAGGTTCCGACTCGGGGCTTTCGGCCAGTTCATCGCTATCATGGCTCGACTCCTCGTAGGACTGGCCTAATGGTGGAGTGTACGCTCGAGGCGTCTGTCGCATGGGATGCACATACTGGGATCCGGGCTTGCTCGCAGTCGAGCCTGATCCATTTGAGAACTGTGATGTTCCACTGGTAGATCGATTGTGAAGACCAGAAGGTGTTCTTTTAAAAGTCACACCTGTGAGGGACCCGCTGCGTGGGCGCTCCCGCTCGAAGTTCATGTAAATGCCCAACCCTTCTTGGTCAGTAGACGATCGCGATAGATCGATCGAGGTCGACGGGGGATCATCCCGGGAGAGTTTCCGCAGAATGGGTTTGATATGGACCTTAGGTTTTATTGATTTGCTCTTGTGAGGGCGAGAGTCGAGAGCTTCGGAGGATATGTTTTCAGAAGTATTCATCAACTGCTGTTCCGAATTCCACGGTTGTTCGCCCGGTGTATCATGCATGGCCATGCTTGAAGCCATGGAGCTGCGCTTTTTGAGGTTGACTGGAGAATTCGAATTGTCGGCAAGATCGGGAAAGGGGAATTGATCAGGGTTGAGATCTCGAGACGGAAAGATATGATAGGAGGCAGCCCGTCCAGTTTCGATGCCTGGTCTTGCCTTTGTAGGACGCTGAAGCGATCCAGATTCCCCCAGTCGGTTTTTCATGACGGGAAAGGCCGACTCTCGAGAGTATGAATCGTCTCGCGCCATCGGGGGACTTAACGGCTTTTTAGTAAGGAACCGTGTGATGCATTGTGAACTGGAGATCAGAGAGGCAGAATTCAGAAGTAATCAAGAGGGGGCATCAGCGCATCAGCGCATCAGCGGGGAAAGTGACTAAGATAAGCGCTTATGCGGGAGATGCGGGAGAGATAAAGGATTTGACATTCGCATGTCGAGACATAGAAAGCAACGGAGAGAGAGAGAGAGAGAGTAAGAAGAGTTAGTATATATTTCAAGGAAAAGGAGACGGCGGTGAAGCCGGAGACAGACGGAAATCGAGACCGCATGCGGCTTTGACTCCTATTCTCTCCTATCCCCTTTTTTTTAAATCCCTATTCTTGGATTCTAGTTTCTCTAGTCCCTTTATAGTCCCTCTAGTTTGATTAGTTTAATTCGATTTCGATTAGTTTGATTAGTTTGTCTTAAGTTCTCATCTTATTTTAATTTATTTCCCCTATATTTATTCTGTATTCCCCTATCCTTCACTCCATCTACACAATATACCTCATTATGTAATATTATATAATCAATATTATATAATATTCCCCCTTAACCTCTCATTGCATATCAAGATATCAAGGCAATAGAGTAAGGCCACACATAGAAATATCAAACTAAAAGTAAAAAAACTTCAAAAACAACAAAAGAACAAAAGAGCATATATATATATATATATATAAAAATACAAAGAATGTCCAAGACCCAAAACCAAACCAAACCAAAAAAAAAAAAGACATACAGTATTCCAATATTGTACATGTATGTACTCTGTACTCCGTACTCTGTGCCAAGCCCATGCACATCTTCCCCCACCAGTGTTTGACCTGTGTACACTGGTGGGGTTGAGACTTGATCTTTTTTTCTTTCTCTCTAATTTCTTCTTTTCTTCACTTTTCTTTCCTTCTATTTCTTCTATTTCTCTTGATAGAAAATACCCCCATATTATAACCTCAACCATGGGTCTGTCCTTGCAGAACCTGGGGTTGTCCCTGTTAGTCCTGGTCGCTTTCTCCGGTCAGGCATATGCATTTGGTGCTGGTAACATCGCCTCTCTTTCCCGCCTCGAAGGTCAAAACTGGCGCCATGGAGATATTGAGGATGCCCTTCTGACTCTCTTCATGGCGAGAGTCGCTGGTGGTAAGAAATTCGGCAAGCTGGACGTGAAGCGGGTCTACTTCGGTAACTGGTTGCGTGATTACAGCCAAGCAGTCGATGTGGGCACCGTCAAATATGTTAGTGCTGAAGCCATCCGTATCCTGCTCTGGGTGCTGGGCTTCATGAGCTTTGGGTGAGTCGTGAAAGTGGAACTATATGGCATTTTCGCTGAGACCTATGAAAAGATACGGAACCAAAGAGTTTGAGGTTACCACGGAACGCCTTGGATGTTATCAACCTACTGAGCATATCGATAATCCCTTGGGATACGCCACGGGCGAGGATGCGCGTGACTACGATCGTCGACTGCGTGGCCCCGTCGACGAAGAGCGAGAGCTTTCGGTGGATCCCCGCACCGGTATGAAGTCTGATCATGCGGTCGATATTGGACTAACCCAACCCGAAACACAGGCTTGAAACACTACATCGCAACGGAGGATGTGGGTATCGACACCTCGGCTGCACTAATTCGTCGTGTGCTCGGCCGCTCAATTCAGATGGGTCGTCGTTACGGCCAATCCGGGAACAAGGACGACCTGTACGAAGCTCTACGGCTGTTGGGCACGGGATTGCACTGCCTGGAAGATTATGCTGCTCACTCTAACTACACCGAACTCAGTCTGATTGAAATGGGAGAGACAGAGGTCTTCCCTCACGTCGGACGTAACACCAAGCTGCGAGTGAGAGGTGTCGACGAAGAAGTCTACCCAATCGTAACTGGTACCTTTGGCGGAGTTGATTTCTTCCATTCCGTACTGGGAGAGTTGTCCGATAAGACAATGCAGTCTGAAATTGAGGGCTTGGAGAATGTCGTCGCCCAATCGGAGAACCAGGATGCCTCCGAGAGTTTCCTGCAGACCCTGCTAGGCAAGATTCCTGATGGGCTGCTTGGTGATAGCAACGACCAGACCGGAAAGATGGATGACTTCAAATCAAAGGCAGATGATGCCAAACATGACGGCGAGAATGTCAATCCTCGTGAACCTGAAGATTGGGCTCTCTACCTGGACAATGTCCAGAAGCAGATCTACCCAGTCCTCGAGTGGCATGACAACCTGCTGAAACAAATCAATGAGGCCATCGAAAAGATCCCAGTCTTACCCGACCTGATCGAGCAAATTCAGGATCAAATCACCCTTTTTGTCTTCTCTATTTTGGCTCCCTATGTTCTTCCCATTATCAAGCAGGTCAAGTCCGAGCTCGAAACCGGCTCATCTGAAGTGATCCAGAGCAGCCGGGAGCAGCAGCACATTGTGTTCAACGACGATGACTGCTCGAACCCGACTCACTCAATGCTCTCAAAGGATCACTTTTCCAATATTCTGAATGAACCAGCTGGTCGTATTGCGTCAGCTGTTGTCAAATGGTCGGTTCCTCAGCTCATGTCATGCTGGGATGATGAGAATGTCGATATCGACCGAACCCTTGACAGAATCATCTCTGGTGTTTTCCATCACCCCGCTCTTCGTGAATTTGGACGTGATGGAGCTGCCGATATGCACCAAATCATGTTCTCCACAGTCGAGAAGTGGTGGAGCCAAAAGGATGATGAGGAGCGTGATATCCTCCGCGAGCAGCTGAGCCGCGACGGTGTCCTTGAAGGCAGAAACCATAAAGATGGCGTGCAGGATTGTGGACACGGATGTGGTAAGCCACTCGCTCTTCCCAAGTCTCATGGCAACTCTGGCGGAGGCCAGGGGTCCGGTGGCTCTGGTGACTCTGGTATTGAGAACCTTGCTTCCGAGGCTCTGGGAGGAGGCGCATTTGGAGGTATACTCGGTGGACTCGTAGGAGGCATGGGTTCTATGCTTCTCAACAACAGCGGCTCAAAGCCTGACCGGGAGAGCCCTGAGCCTCAGAACTACGACACTGGGAATTCTTACCAGAGTCGGCCCCAACATGAGAGCCAGCAATATGGAGGGGACTCGTACAGTCAAATACAGCCCCCTCGCCAGAGTGAATATGGACAGCCAAGCGAACCAAGCTACGGAGGCTACAGTCAGCCCCCGATTCATCGCGAAGAATACCGTCCCCGTCCCGATGGATACGAATATCGAAGTGAAACTGTCTATGAACAGCCCCCTGCGCGTCGTGATGAGTACCCTGGCTATGCACCTCCAGCAGAGAACTTCCGCCGGGAGGAGCACCACCAATACCAGTCGGAAAGCCAGGGCTACTATCAGGAGCAGACACGGGAGACCTACCAAAGTGGCCAATCTGAATACCAACGTACAGAGACACAGTACGGATACGGAGGCCCGCCTCCCCGTCAGGAATATGGACAGTGAGTCGACTTTGATTATTTTTTATCGGCTAGTCTGTTAAATTGACCACAATGTACAGGGAGCCCTCTGGATATGGTAGACCACAACCTGGCTACACTGAATATGAAAATTCAGGCTATAGGCCCCAGGAAGGATATGGTCAGCGAGAGGGTGGCGATGGATACCGCCCCGAGCGACAATACGAGGGCGAGGAGCGCGCCAGGTACCGTTCGGGTTCTCACAGTGGGGGCAGCGATAATGAGGAACGTTCTCACCGACACCACCGACACCACCATCACCATGAACGGTCTGGTTCGGATTCGGATTAGGTAACCTCAGCATTGCCCCGGATATAGTTTTTTTGGGCTAGTGATAGATCCTGTCGCAGTGGATGCCGGCGAAGACATCTACCATTCCTTAACCTCTCCGGGGGCCGGTTGTTCAGTGCGAACAACCTTGTCACAGTTGAGCAGGCGGAGTGGATCAAGAGCCAATTTCAGCTAGAAATGCAGATATGAGTATTAGCGGTATGCTCCAAATGCGTAGACAATGTATATTTGGATTTGGAGGTTGAATGAGAATGTATATCAAGACTTACCCGGCGCATTGTGTCAACTGTACTTTCACCCAACTCGTGCTCGAGGTAGTCCCGCTTGACGAGACCGACACCGTGCTCCCCAGTGACAGTGCCCTCCATCTCCACAGCACGTTTCACCATGCGGTGCACGACTCCCTCTGCTATCTCCTTCTCACTGTCGCTGAAGAGGATAATCGCTGTCGGCTGTTAGTACATGTCGAATAATTCTGGGATATGTCGAAATCAAGGCAATAGCTTACCGTGGAAGTTGCCATCTCCAACATGGCCACAGATTCCAGCCAACAAGCCATTATTAGTCATATCTTCCTTGGTTGCCTCCATAATATCGGGCAACTTGCTCATCGGGACCGCGACATCGGTCGTCCAGACGTGGTCATCCGGGTTTCTCTTCATTGCCATGACACTCCACAGCGCCTCTTTGCGAGCACTCCAGAGTTCTGCCATTTCATCCTTGCCACGTGCAAACTCGAAGGTATTGCCGGAGGTGCTAGACACAATTTTCTGCACCATACTAATCTGCTCCTTGACCGCATTTGGAGTGCCAGTGAACTTGAAGAACAGGGTGGGGGACTCCTTCCATTGGCGGCTGGTAGTCTTGCTGGCATTGATGCACTTCATCTGGATATCATCCAGAATCTCAACACCAGCGACAGGGATACCAGCCTCCACCACATTGGTCACACACTCCGCAGCATTGTGAATAGTGGCAAAGCTTGCAACCGCAACATTCTCACTCTGAGGCTTGACCGTCAGCTTCAAGGTCGCCTCCGTTACTAGACCAAGAGTGCCTTCGCTGCCAATAAAGAGCTTGGTTAGGTCATAACCAGCACTAGACTTCCTCGGTCGCTGCCGAGTCTTGATAATGGTGCCATCGGCGAGGACCACAGTGAGCGACAGCACCCACTCACGCATTGTTCCGTACCGGTAGGCATTGGTTCCCGAGCATCCCGTTCCGACCATACCGCCAATCATCGCACCAGGGCCGGGGTCCGGGGGGAAGAAAAGCCCATCCTTAGCGATCTCCTCGTTCAACTCCTCCCATCCAACGGCAGGCTGGACAACAACATCCAAGTCACGCTTGTGGAGCTTCAAGATGCGGTCCATGCGACGGAAATCCACGCATACACCACCTCTCGTAGACGCGAAATGGCCTTCCAAGCTCGTGCCTCCGGAGTACGGGGTCACGGGGATAACGCGCTGGTGGCAGACCTTCATGATGCGCGAGACCTCCTCGGTACTTGACGGGTAGAGGATCAAGAAGGGCCTCTCATTCTCTTTCAACGAGTAGGAAGACCAATCGGATCCGGAATGCGATTCCAAGTCGCCACTTGCAGTTGATACATTTTCCTTGCCCAGGATCTCGACGAAATCAGCCCACGCTGCCTGGAGGTTGGAGGGAGAGACGTTGTGTTTCGGGGCCTCGATCTCGGAGAGGGGAGTCGTAGATGAGGAGGGCAGAGCTGCGGGCTTGATGGATCCGAGGTAGTAGGCACCGGTTGAGAAGAAAACCAAAGCTACAGCGCGATTACAGATTTAGTTAGCCAGTGACCCGAAGGGAAAATGCAAGGTTATCTCGGCATCGCATACCGAAGACCAGGGCAGCAGAACGACCCCCGGGAGACTGGGTCTGATATTGAGCAAATTTCTCCTGTTCGGCGCGCTCGCGCTTCAGACGCTGCTGGGTGCTTTCGTATAGTTGACTCTTGAATGATGCGTTTTCCTTGGCTTGCTTGGGCGAAGCTACGAAATGGCGCACGAGGCGGGGTGCGGGCCGAGTCCGGAGACTACGTGCCCCTAGTACAAGAGCATTGAAGACCATTGCGGAAGAAGTGAGCTCTTAAAGCTATCAAAGCTATCAGAGAGAGAGAGAGAGAAAGAGACGAGAGGTGGAGGACGGACCGAGTTCCGGGGTCTTGGCATCCGGGCCGATACTTTTTTCTCTCTTACAGGGATAGTATATATATTCAGTACAATATATATAATAAATAGTATAGTACATATGTATATATATTATAGTGTATCTTATATGATTTGATATGTTAAAAAGGTGTCACCTATATCAGAATATATAGATTTATAAAAAAAAACCCCTCAAATATGTCACTTGACCATATAGTGGCGGGTCACATGGCTATTCAATCGCCTCAACGAAAACATATATAAACCACGCCGGTTAATATCGTCCGGCTAAAAAAGAAAAAGGTCGATCCACATCTCATCTCATCCGAAGTGGAACTTGTCTGGACCTGCGGGGAGCTCTCTTCTCGGTTCAATTCACTTCGCATTCTCCCGGTTCACCCTTTTTTTCTCTCAAGTTCTTTATATATTCTGTGTAGAATCTCTCTTTCTCTACTCTCATCTCAATCTCCATTTCCCCGGAATTCCTAACGCCCTTCTAAAACCCCATATACACAATGGCCACATCTCAGGTAGGACTCGACTCACCGTTGAAAAATATCGCAAACAAAGTCTGACAGTCATTTAGAACCTCTCCTTCGTCCTCCAGGGCATCCACAAGGTTAAGTTCGAAGACCGCCCGGTTCCCGAGCTGAAGAACCCGCACGATGTCATCATCAACGTCAAGTACACCGGTATCTGCGGCAGTGATGTATGTATGCTTTGGAAACAATATGAATCATAGACTAACGTATCCCCGCAACAGGTGCACTACTGGGAACATGGCTCGATTGGTTCATTTGTCGTCAAGGACCCCATGGTTCTCGGGCACGAGTCAGCAGGCATTATCACCCAAGTCGGAACAGCTGTCAAGACTCTAAAGGTGGGCGACCGGGTTGCCATGGAGCCCGGCACTTCCTGCCGCCGATGCGAGCCCTGCAAGGCTGGAAAGTACAACCTGTGCGAGGACATGCGCTTCGCCGCGACCCCACCCTATGACGGCACCCTCGCCAAGTACTACACTCTCCCCGAGGACTTCTGCTACAAGCTCCCCGAGCACATCTCCCTGCAGGAGGGAGCACTGATGGAACCCCTCGGTGTTGCTGTGCACATCGTGCGCCAAGCCGGCGTTAGCCCGGGCCAGTCGGTGGTTGTATTCGGCGCCGGCCCCGTGGGCTTGCTGTGCTGTGCTGTGGCAACTGCGTTCGGTGCCTCCAAGGTCATCGCCGTGGATATCCAGCAGCAACGTCTTGACTTTGCCAAGGACTACGCTACGACGTCGACGTTCATGCCTAGCAAGGTTGCGGCCACTGAGAACGCCGAGCGCCTGAGACAAGAGAATGGACTCGGCGCTGGAGCCGATGTGGCGATTGACGCTTCGGGCGCCGAGCCCTCTGTGCACACGGGCATCCATGTCCTGCGCAACGGAGGCACGTACGTGCAGGGTGGCATGGGCCGCAGCGAGATCCAGTTCCCTATCATGGCGGCTTGTTCCAAGGAGCTGACCATCAAGGGTAGCTTCCGGTATGGTAGCGGAGACTACAAGCTTGCCGTTGGACTGGTTTCATCCGGTAAGGTCGATGTCAAGAAGTTGATTACCGGCACGGTCAAGTTCGACCAAGCTGAGCAAGCCTTTATTGAGGTCAAGGCTGGCAAGGGCATTAAGACCTTGATTGCTGGTATTGATGTGTAAATTCCATTATAGAAACGAAACATTGGGAATAAACGGGGCGTTTTTATTATTATTCAGCAGATCTTGAATGAGAGATGAATCAAAAGTTGATATGTCTGAGCTGTTGAGTAAATAAAGTAACATGTAGAAATGATCAAGGCCAACAGCGGGGGGTATCGTGCAGTGTAGTAAAAGACCAAATTCAAAACAGGGGGAAAAAAAAAAGACTATGCGTACCCAGTGGTGTTAAATAATACTAACAGCACCCTTGATTTGGGTGATTTCCAGAGCCCAAGCGGAAAACATCCTCCCATTCCCTCATCCCGCTCTTCCAACTATGTCCAGTACCAGGAGCTTTGCCCTTTCGACGAGTCCTGCGCTGGAGGGGCACGGAATTATCATCCAATGTTGCCCGACTTCTGATACTCGAAGCGTCACTGCCGCCATATAGACCTCCATCCCCGTACTGGATCCCACTCTGCGGGTCGTCGGGGTCGATCTCACCGAGCTCGATCTTGGTCAAGATAATGCGCGCCAATCGATTAAAGACTTCCTCCACGCCATCCCCCGTCAGAGCTGAGATCTCCACAGCGACGGGGATATTCGACTTGGCAGCCCAGTGGGATGTCTCCTCGGAGCTAACCTCTCTGCCTTCCGAGGCACGAGTAGCAGTCAACCTAGTCCCCGTCCCCATCATGCTGGTCGAGCGAATCGACCCATTCATATCCCACGGGATAGATGACTGTCTGCTGGAAGTACTGGACGGGGTCGGAGGCGGGCGGGAGTTATCTTCGAAATCGGACTGGGCCTCGGAGGTCAAGTCAGCTTTATTCCCGGCCAGGATGACGGATAAGTTCGGGGAAGCGAGGGCACGGGCGTCCATGAGGAAGGTCGGGAGGGAGGTGAAGGAAGCGTAGGAAGCGACATCGTAGATGAGGATTGCGCCTGCTGCGCCGCGATAGTATGATCTTGAAACCGATCGAAAGCGTTCTGTGCCTGCTGTATCCCAGAGTTGGAGTTTGATACGTCTCCGACGCGAGCCCGTGCCAAGTTTCACGATGCGCGATGCGAATTCCACGCCGATGGTCTGAGAAGAAAGTACTCGCCCTGGAGAGAAGATAAGTCAGAGAGAGAGAGAGAGCCAGTGGGGAGATTGGGGGGTTGTACATTCGTCTTTCACGAAGCGGTGTAGTACACAAGACCTTCAAGGATCCGATGTCAGCAGATGATCTAAGCTTGGTATGTACCATATAGTTATGTACTTACTTTCCAGCACCGCTTGGTCCTAGGAGGATGACTTTGGCGAGGTAATCGTACATGCTCCCTAGTTCCTATGATTGCATTAGCCGGTTACTAGCCGGTTTCTAAGGGGTTTTGGGTTGAGGATAGGGGGTATCATGTACCTGGTCTGAGACGGAGGATGTAGACGAGGCATTTGAAAGACCTCTTTGGCGTGCCATGAGAGGGTAGGGAAATAAATATTTGGGGAGATAATGAGAGAAAGGTAGCTTTGACTCGGGGGGAAAGCTGCCCGACCGGGAGTGATCTCCTTAACTATTGATATTACACTATTAACTATATTAACTAGTTCTATTTGATTAACTAGTTATACTACTTTTTAAGATTAAAATAGAAAAGAGATCAAGTACCCAATTCTTTTAAGATCTAAATATTGAAACGTCCATAATTTCTATATAACATGATTTATAGGATCAGACTCTTGATTTTAATAGGGTTTCGTATTTCATATACTTGGGGGCTTAGGTGAGGCTGAGGACATAGAGAATTATATTATACTATATAGGGGGCTATGTAGTGGAAAAGGAGAGATCTACATAAAAAATCTCCGTCACCTTATATGGCAATTTTTCTAGAAACAAGATTCAAGGTAGTCCGAGTGGCGTATAACAGTTAGTGGCCTATTACGGAGTATATATCTCCAAGGTTACATATATATGTAAATGGCTAAGTTGCCCGAGGCTGATTTGGTGATTTGGGTTTGCGCTTTAAAGATTTAAAAAGACCCTGAAATCTCTTGGGGTCAGAATTTCGTCATCCCCGTTACATCACCTTTTTTATATTCTGACATTCTTTCTTTCTTCTCTACATTCACCATGAAGTTTACTTGGGTACTCCTTTTACTCTCTACGGTCTCATCCCTGACCATTCCTCAAACAGAGAATCTCATTCGAGATGTAGACTCTCTGGAATCTCTGGACTCCCTAGATTCTACCCACACAGATCTTATAACTCTTGAGAAACGGCGTGGTGGTGGTGGAGGCCGAGGCGGTTCATCCGGAGGAAGCAGTGGAGGCCGTACTGGTTCCTCAGGCTCCTCAGGCTCCTCCGGTTCTGGTTCTTCTGGTTCCTCAGGTTCCTCCGGTTCAAGCGGAGGCAGTCGCAGTGGTTCAAGCAATGTTGGTGGTACAACCAGTGGCGGCTCTGGCACTCGAGCAACGTACGGTGGAGGCAACTACTATGCCGGTGGTGCGCGAACTCCATACAAGTCTGGCTCCCGGTCCCGTGGAGGCATCGCTCCCTACGTGCTCGGTGGAGCCGCACTGGGCGTCTTCCCCGGTCTTTGGCTGTACAGCGCCTACGCCTACCCTTACAGCCACCACTACAACTACTACAACGAAAATGCCCACAAGAACGAGTCGCTCCCCGTTGTCTGTGTGTGCCAGGAGTACTCGGAGTGTGGCTGCGACGACAACAACAACAGCACATACTACAAGTCCCTCTTCAACGGCACCGTGCCCAAGAACTCCAGTATTGTGCGCGTGGCCGATGTGAATGGCACTCAGACCATCTACATCAATGGCACCTTGCCCAACGGTACCACGGCCGATGATGGAAGCTCGACTAGTGGATCGACTAATGGATCGACTAATACTTCCTCGGCATCTGGGCCTGTCGCGATGGTCCTACATGCTAGCGGGTACTGGGTGACCGTTGCCGTGGTGGTGGCCGCCGTCTGGGGATTATAAATGTGGACTTTTTTCTGCTTTGCTTTCTGCTTGCTGACTGCCAAATTTTTATGGCTCAACCTGGCTGGTATTGATGATGGGCCCTTAATGTTATAATAAGAGATGATTGGGATGGGATGTTTGCTTGCAACTTTGATACCCCGGTTTGGGAACCTGCTCTTGGCCTGTACAACGGTATTGTTTATATCCATAAGCCCTTTGCTTTTGATAATGTTAAGGCGATGAATTGGACTAAAAACTGTACATTGTAATAAGATAAGAACAATGTAAAGTATAAAATGTAGTCTCAGGATACTACATTAGGCATCAAAAAATGTTTCAAGCTTGAAAATAGTGAAATTGATTCACTTTCTCCTTTTCTCTCGTCTTCCCTTGTTATTCCGAGTCAATAAACTGCCGCGACAGGGCATATTTCTTGTCTCTGTCATCCTACACCAAATCCAAGAACCCACATCGAATGGTCTCATAAGCACGTCGGGTTCTATTTAAGAGATTTAAATTCGGTTTCAAAAGCAAGATTATCATTTCAGGCAACACAAGCACAAATTCAATGTTACTCCTATCCATCTCAACCCAGTGAATCATAGCAAGAGTTTCGGCCATAACTCTTACTGATCTATATTGCCATGCCGAGTTCGTTTTGATTGAAGAAGATAGAAGTATAACAAGACGTGAGGATATTCTTAAATTGGACTAGTTGTACTGTTAGAAACGAGTGCTATTTTTAAATAATACCATAGGGGGAAAAGAATATGAGAAATTGTGCATTTAACATTCAACAGAAGAGAAGGATCGAGTGATGCCTGATCTATATCATGAAATGTAGTGACATTCCAATGGTTGCTTGGGGTGTGCATTGATGCCTTAAGTGCCTTGGTGCCTTGGTGCCTTGGTACCTGTTACATACAAGCGCCTTGGAACCTCCCTTTTTCCTATTTCTCTCATCTTGCAACTTCTCCTGTTCTAAACAGTGTCACTCTTTTGTTCTCACATTCTTTTATCAGCTATATTCACTCTTTTAACTGGTTTCTTCGCAATCCACAATCCACAATCCACAATTCTCAATTCTCAATTCTCAATTCTCAATATCATAACAACTTTGCAACAATGCAGTTCACCAAGGCTCTTCTCTTCCTCTCGGCCCTCGCGCCTGTCGCATTCGCCACTGAAGCTGCCTCAGCTGAGTGTATCACCAAGACCATCACTCTGGTGCCTTCCGGCTACACTCCCCCCATCGTCCACCTCGACCCCAGTCTCAACGACTGAAACTCCCTCGTCGACCTGGACTCCTGTCATCACTAGCACTCCTTTCCCCAGTGCTACCCCTTCTGTGAGCCGTATCGCCAGCTCCTCCACTCGCCTGATCAAGTCTACCACCACCCCCGCCGGTGAGACTGCCTCGGCTACTCCTTCCGTCCCTGCTACGGCCGGTGCTGCCTCAGTCCACCTCCCTGGTTTCATGGCTGGCGCAGTCGCCATTGCTGGTCTTCTCATGGTCTAAACTCCATTTAATAGCTCATTTGAACGAGTAATTGTTTGAGCTACACCCCCCGGCGATCTTGGTCTCGACTTTCGTCGCATTGCATCGAGTGTCAGCCTTGGGTATTAGACGCCATCTAGAATGGCCCCCACTTGATCCTTCCCATCTCTTTTTTTTGGGATATTTTCTTCTCTACATATTCTCCCTTTTTGACATACCGTTTTTTTTAACCTTCTTACTTTCTGGTTACGGTGGCTTTTACGTGTTTTCCGATTTTCCGATGTTTATACCCTTTTCTTCTACCTTCGATACTCCCCTTTTGATCTCATCCAAGCATTTTCAGTTCACGCTACTTCCTTTCTGTCTTGGTTGACCTTGGATTCTTTCTCCACATTGATGCTTGCATCCTTGCGCTTGGATGTCATACTACTGTTCCTTAACGAGTGTAAGACTTACGAGCTTTATTTATTTTGTGCAATTTATACAATTTATTGTGGCTATATTTGACCTATTGCTTCATCTTTCTTCATATCGTTGACTGGACTGTTTAGTCTTTACATATAGTGTGGATTCCTAGCTTCTCGACGAGATCATGCCTATGGCTGTATCTACGGCGTATGCTCGACAAACAACTGGCTGAATCAAGCGCATCGATAATCGTGAATAACTTCGGAGAGGACTGAAACTGATCTTATCTACTACAAGGACCCCAAGAACGGGCACCAAAAAAACTATCGTACAGAGAGGAGAGCTATAACTAGCCTACTCCTCTTTGGAGAAAGCAGCTTCGTATCTGCCGAGCAAGTTAGCCAATATCTCTCCACTCAGCAATAGACACCACATACCTCTTGCCTCGGAAGGCCCACAATCCCCAGTTTCCACAAGAAACATCATGAGGATCCTGATCATTCAGATCCCAGCGCAGACTGCGGAAGATATTCTCCCCGGGTTCAAGAAGCACGTCAAACTCCCCACGACATTTCTCACCTACCCAGTTAATATCACGCTCCAGATCCCACTGCGTATACCCAGTACAAATGATAGGAACCTTAGTCTCAAGCAGCTGAGGCAGCGTCTCCTCCCACTCATGCGAGCTAGCCGGGTGACCCAGACCAGGATGGAAGAGCATAAAGCAATCCAGATAAGGGTCGAACGGACCGAAATACTGAGCCTTGTTCATAGTGTGGAAGTAGTCCACGTAAGTAGTGATCTTCATCTGGCCACCGAGTCTGTCCTCGACAATTCCGCCGAAGGGATTCTCGGGCGTACGCTCGGGAAGCGGATACTCTCCGTCTCGATTCGCCATGCTCTCCGGTCCGATGAAGATCAGGTGCAACAGGGCGCGCGGGTACATGTACTGCAGCTGCAGCCAGACGTCGCGGGGGAGGGAGGACTCGGCGCGGGCGCCGAGGATGAAGATTCGCACTGGGGGCGCGTGCAGGCGGAGGCCTTTGACGTCGATGCTTTCGCCAGCTTTAGGGGGGTGGAGGGTGTAGCGGAGGGCTGGGGATGGTTAGTTTGCGGTGTGGGCGGGTGTGAGGGACACTGCTAGCAGATGCTCTACTGCTGTATAGTATCAGGACTTACCACTCATACTCTTCAGTCCCTCCGGTGTAAGCCGTCCGCCGGAACGAACACTGTACGGGCTAAGCTCGTGCAAAACACTGCCGATTGTCTGGGGGTAGGTGAGCATGCGGGTAACCTGACGCATGGAGCGGTCGTCGTTGATAGCCGCGAATTCACGCGTGTAGAGGTAAGTGTCCCAGTTAGTCATGTTGATAACGAAGTTATCATCCTGAGGACCGGGGTAATGGAATTCAGGGAAGAAGCGGCCGGAGTTCAGGTCGTGGTCGTCCTCGTTGATCTGGCGCAGCGTGTCACAGATCTCCAGGTGAGCCTCGAAGTCGTCCATCCAGTGGCCTTCGGAGCAGTAGACTGGCACACCGCAATCGGGGCACTCGAAGTGTGAATGGGCCGGGGGCAGGTTTGCCTCATCGGTGCTTTTTCTGGCTTCGGGGTCATGCGGCGAGACGGGCGCGCGGGTCTGCTGGTGGCTTGGGTGGGGGCAGAAGGCATTCTGCTTGATGAACTGAGCGCGTTTGCGGATTTCCGGCGAGGGTGAGTCCGAGAAGGAGTGGAACAAGTTGTCAGGTTTCAAGACGGCCCGAATGTTGTTAACCCGAGTGTTGACGGAGGAGCCAGTTGCCGTGTGAGCTGCTCGCTCCCCGATGGGTGAAGGCGAGGGCTTGGGAGCACAACAGGACTGGCTGTGTGTGTGCTTTGGCTGCTCTGGGGAGCTGCCTAGCGATCGACTGTTGCGTTGCGAGCCGAAGCTGCGGATGAAAGACGGGGAGATGGGGCTTCTTCTCCGCGCGGTGGCGAGGCTCTGCAGGCGAGCCTGAGGGGCTGAGGCCCGGACTCCTTGACGGAGGACCTGTAGGCACTGGACACAAGTGTATCCTGCCATTGCGATGTCAATTGGTTGTGGAGGGGAACTGATCAGACCACGGATGGCTCTGGTGATGTTTTTGCGGCGACACGTGACTGATAACGACCATCTATGGACGAAGATATCTTCAACTTGAGCTTTGAATCGTCGGTTTTATTCTGTGAGTTATGTGGATTTTACTTAAAGATATCCCATTTATTGTTTTCATTATACTCAAGAGGAGCCCATGGCTATGAGAAAGCTATCCAAAGAATTGATTCGTTTATTTATGATAATCGAGAGTCTTGTACAAAGCATCCAAGCGAAAACATCAAGCCAATGACCTCTCAGAAGATATCCTCGGATCGACTCCAATCATGCACTTCTCTGGACTCCCAGTATTTTCCATTATGAGCCCAGAACTCCTCTCCAGTAACAGGACACTTGTCACGGGCGAACCATTGCGGTGCGTAGACATCGCCGTTGGTATCGCGATCTCTGCGCTTAGCACGCTGCTTCTCTTCGACACGGTGCTTCTCATCAGCAGCCAAAGTATATTCACCATCTTCCATAGCCCGCTGATCAGGTCGCAGTCTGGTATCGGTGGGAGGTAACCACTCTTTCAGACCCTCAGGGAGGGCGTTGAGCGTGATGACGAACGGAGTCAAGTTGAAAGGTATACCGGTAGGACGAGCATGAGCCTGCCAGACCAAGAAGGTCTTGGCAGACTCGGGATCCTGGCCGGAGACAGGTGCCTCAAAGCCGGGGGTGTGGCGCGCGTAGATCTTGTCGTTCCAGCGGCCACCGATGCTCCACTTGGGGGAGCCTTCGCTGTCGACGACCTTCCCTGTTACCTGATAGGCCGATGAGGCCTTCCAGCCACGGGGCTTGAAGTCGAGGTAGCAGACTTCGCCGGTGGTCCAGTTCTTGATTTCCATCATACCGTAGTTGTCCACTGTGGGGTTACCAGTGATGATGCCGATAACTGACGAGGTCACTTTCTTCCAGGTGTAAAGTTCCTCCCCGCCGGAGGAAGGTCGCAGCTTCAGGAACCATGTGCCCAGAAGGTTGATGTCGAAGGATTTGCCGTAGAACTTGGACTTGAGGGAGGATTCACCCTGAATACGTAATTTGGATTAGCTCTGCTAAGAGATATTGGGTTACGAATATCAGATGCACTTACCCAGTAGTCCCATTTGGGCGACTCGGCCCACGCAGCTCCAATCGGTGGGTGGTGGCTGACTTGCTCCACAAAGAATCGATAGCCCTTGTCCGGACGCACGTACTCGAAGGTTTCACCCAAAAGGGGGTTAAAGGGCTTTGCGACACGGCCAATGGTCGAGGCATACTCACTTGCGGCGTACGTGGCGACGTAGACCAGGCGTTCCATTGAATCGGACCGACCAGCGGCGATGTCAAGGAGGTCAGTATATTCAAGATCCTCAGCCACTCGCTGAAGCAGTGAAGTTGGTTCGTTGAAGGACACGGGGAGCGTCATCTTCGTCATATCCTTTCCAATCATAGATTTCAGAATACTCTAAACAGTAGTTAGCACCGACAAAGAAAGGAAGAAGGAAACACCATAACTTACCCACAAAGAGATCTTTGGCCGATCATCAGCATCCATCTTAAGTCGCTCTCTAACGGGATCTTCATAACCCTTAAAGGACGGTGCAATGATGGTACTCTTCACAGCCCGAAGTTCAGCACTTTCATCTTTAGGTTGTTCCACCTTGTTCTCCTTGGCGTTATTAAAATCCTCTACCTCGATTTCACCGGCATCAATAGCATCAAAGAATTCTTCTCCGTCCGATTCTGAATCACAGAGACTACTGAGCTTGGAATAGGTCGACGGATTGCGAGTGGGCGCGGGTTTCGTAGATAGTTGCTGCGTAGCCTGGTCTGCTTCATCCATCGTCTCGGCAACCCCACCTTCAGTTTGGCTAACCTCAAGATCCTGGTTCTCTGTTGGCAAACTGGGTTGAGCACCGGCGATAGAACGGCTACTGCCTGTTGCGCTCTCCAGGGCTTCCTTCAGAGCCCGCTTGGTCCGCTTCCGCTTCTCCTCAGACTCGCCCATCTTGGATTGTAGCTCCTCGTGCTCGCGGGCCACGCGAGCCATGCTTTCTTCCCACATCTGACGAATGGACTCCTCTCTACTGAGACGAGATTGCCAATAAGAGTCTCGGTCTCGTGAGATCTTGAGCAGATTCTGCACCAAACCTTTGAGGCTGCTGACTGCAGCTTCGTAAGCACCGAGAGCCTCTTCGAGGGCTGGATCCGAGATGGTCATTTCCGGATGCTTGGATTTCTCGGTCTGTATCGAGGCAGCCACATTTGCAAGAAGATCTAACTGAAGCTTTGCAGATTGTGCGGTGATATTGAGAGCATCTTTATCAGCGGCTGGCATCTCATTTTCGTGGCTTGAACCATAGTCGACAAATTCTTCATCCTCGCCCTCTCCGTCCGGCACAGTTGTGACATGGCTCATTACTCTGTTCATGTCATTTGGAGCAAGAATCTGGTCATAAGAACCGCCATAAGCGGAGCTATCTTCGTCTCCAGCTGGAATATCCAGGGTAGTCCGGGATGCATATGTGCTGAGCCTTGTGCCGCTGCTGCTGCCACCGCCCAAAGAGGGAGGAGCGAGACCCTTTGTGCTGGGCTTGTGAGAAAGGCCAGACTCCGATGGTGTATCCACAGGGCGTCCTTCTGTCTGATCGATCTTGGCCTGGCGAAGCACCTCTGCATTCTTCGATCGCTGACGCTCCTCCTCCTTCGCTTCATCCTTGGCCCACTGAATGGCGTTGTTGAGAGACCAGAACCAGCGTTTTGCCTCCACGACATGGTTGGCCTTGAGGTGGTATTTGACCGACGACTTGCCGTGAATTTCAAAGCGCGTCTTATCCTGCGCATCCATGCTAAGTCTAGCAATCTTCATGTTGATCGCACCGCGACAGGCAGAGCCTGCATCATCTATAAAGAAAGTTAGCAGGGGTCGACGACAGGAGGGGCGATGACAACACTGGAGATGAGCCCCGGACATACCCTGGTGCTTATAATAACTCAGAACTCCATCCTCCAGAACGAACCAGCGCAACTTGTACCCCGTGGTGTAATTCGTCCATTTCTTGAGATAGCCTCTCATCTCGCGAGCGTCCTTGCCCCCAAGCGGGGCATCGCCAACCGAAACACGCCCAGCAAGGCCTTGAGCATTACTATTTCCGAGAATAGCCCTTTCCTGAATACCACGCTGAGCAATAACAGCAGCCGGTGATCTCTTCAAGAGAGCGCGGGTTTTATCATCTTTGGTAACATCCTGCGGTAGCTTCCCCTTCTTGTCACGGCGGAAAGGATCCGCGCCATGTGTCAGAAGGATTTCAATGAGCTGCGCATCTTTATTTCTAGCACCCTCGTGTAGAAGGGTGCCACCGGATTGGGCTGTTGTCGGGTCGGTAACCAGGTCGTAGCTGTTCACATCCATAATACCCTCCACCCGAGGTTCCTCGAGCAAAGCCTCCAACTCCTTATAATCAGAGCTTGCAATCAAAGCCTGGATTTCCTGGTTCTTGCTATCGATGAAGAGAGACCGCGCAAGCTGAAGTTGCTGGAAGATTTCAGGGGTACGGGCCAAATCGAGAGCCGTCTGACCCCGATAGTTGACAATGGAATCATTTATAGACGGTCGGTTCAGCAATTCGCGAACAAGCGGGCCCCGACCCAGCTGGGCGGCGATGTGAAGTGGCGTGTTTCCATCCCGATCTCGTGAGTTGATATCGAGGTCCTCCGCAGTGGACAGCACATATTCCACAACCTGGGGCTCGGCGCACTGCAGAGCCAAATGGAGGACAGTCGTGCCGTTGAGGTAGCTCACACCCTGCGGGTCGATAGTATCCTTAATGGCCTTCGAGATGGCCGTGGTATCACCGCTGCGCAAGATCTCGAAGAGACGGAAGGTGCGAACAGACTGCTCAAGCGACATGCCGCCAGTCTCCATGTGGTTCAAGGAAGGCAGGTTTTCGACTGTGTCCATATTCTCGGCGGATTCTTGAATGGCCGGTGGCGGACTCGAGTCCTGGCCTTGTTTGCGACGGCTGTGGCGGCTGCTGCTGCGGGTGTGTTTCAACAAGCCGGGGTTCGAGGAGGTAGATGTGACTGAGTTGTTGTCTCCGTTGTCGGGGTCTTTGTCTTCGCCCTTGGACTTGTCGCGATGGAGGAGGGCAAGTGCTATTGCGCTTCGAGAGCGTTTGTGCCTGAACGACAGTGGCATGTCAGTAGAAAGTCCACACACCGTGCACTCCGTATACACCGTATACTTCACATATGACTGCTTCAAAAAGTTTACCGGTTCAGAGATACCAAGGAAGTCAAGTCAAGGTATTTCCCCCGGGGGTTCTCACAGCCGTCATGATGCACGATGAACCATGGATCCAGCGCTATAGTACCAAATTTGGAAGGGAACAAGACTTACCCTTCAGGTTTATCAGACATCCTTTTAAACCGGATATCCAATATCTGCGCAGAGATTGAGAGTTGAGATGAAATTGGGGGGGGGGGGGGGGGGTCTGGGGGCCTCGGGCCCTTGTTTGGGGGGCAAATGATGCTAATCTCCGCCTTGGCAATGAGGGTGTTCTCGAGTATTGTCTCGATATGAAATACAAATATTGTACATGCATTTATACAAAGCAAGGCCATTCAGCCCATCTATGCCATTTATATCTATCATACAGTATACCTAATTTACACTAGTTTATCGAGTCTCCCCGCTAACCAAGATCACAACACTGCCCAATTGTCGCTTCAAGTCTTCCTTACCAACATCGTGGGTATCCTCAACCTCACCCCACATATTAGTCTGCCAGGTCACCTCCAGACTCGACGCCTCAGCGGCCTCCTCGATACCGAACTTCTTTGTCTCGGGTCGCTGAATGTGGCGGAAGTTCTCACTCCATTCCACCACCAGGCGGACCGCGATGAGAAGACTCTTGGAAGCAAGGATTGCCCGCTCAAGACCGGCCAAGTCATACGCAGACAGTTCCGAAACCCAGATGCAGATACTGTCTTTCGTACCCTTCGGCTGAGAGAGAGGAAGGATGCTATTGGTGTCGAGGATAGGGATGATTTCAAGGCCAGGCCAGACCTTGGTAGACAAGAAGCTCATGATGTTTCCCGCGATCCTCGTTTGAATCTGACGGAGAGTCTCGATGGGCTTTCCGTCGGCCGTCGTCCGTTCCAACACGTGCATTTGTCGTTCCGGCTCCCAGCAGAGTAGAGTATCAGTGTCTAGGTAACGCATGGCAGTTGCGATAATCTGTTTTCTGGTGGTATTTTTGCCCTCGGCATCTTCACGGGCAATATCGGTGGCGCGGGCTGCGAGGGAGGTCATGGGGATAAGGTGACTTTTGAGAGCACTTTGGGCGGAGGGCATCACATCCCACTCTAGCGCAACAGCGTGGGCGAGGTGAGGCTTTGTGGAGGGAATAGTAAGAACTTCTTTCGCCGGGGTTCTGACGGGTCGCTTGTCAAGCAGAACTTGATATTCGTCTGAATAAAAAAAAGTGGCTGCGTTAGCTGGCGAGTATCACCGGAGATTAATGAGAAAGACAGCCAATGTCCGTTCCGCCCATACCTGACTTTCCATGCACATGGACATCCTTCCAAAACCGCTTCTTCAGCGCAGCAGTGAGATTGTATCGCGACGCTCCACCCTCGGAAGCTGGGAGCTCCGTATCATCCGATTTTAAGGTTTCCTTGAACTCTGGAGCTTTAGGAGGAGGGCCTTGGGCAGTGACTGGGTGTGCAACAGCTGATCTGAAGGGAGACGAGTGAATATGCCGGCATAGCGAGACAGGACGGGCGATGGCGGATAACTGCGGAAGCGCAGCGCGAGCAAAAGCGACCATTTCTTGAAGGACACCCTTAGCAATTGATTGGAGAAAAAAAGGAGTGGATGGGGGACAGTTCCTGAATCCAAAGTTGGAGGTCGGAACTCGAACATTTCCCAAAGTCTTGGCTCGCCACACGCGCCACAAACCCCAAACACGATCTACATATACAATCTACGAAGTACATATTGTCTCACATAAATTACACATGAGCTTTGACACTATTTTCTTACTACATTCAAGCCTCTTTGGACTGGTTCTAGACTCTGCATGATATCAGAATTAGAAACTATGACAGGATCCTGCTCCGAGGTAGCTTTAGGGGCTCTATTCTCTCTATGAGCAAATGGTATTGTGCGTATATTCCAATTAGAGATTATCTGCAGTTTGGGAAAGCAAAAGAAAAAAACTAAAAGTTCAGATTACCACCTTGCATCTAAAAAGGACCAAAAGCTCTCACAGAAAACTCAGGGGAATCAAAGAAAAGCAAACTGAGACGCGCAGAGTCAAGAGTCAAGCGCAGAGCAATAGCAGAACAATCGCAAAAACGACATCCGCCCATGCTTTTGTAATTTACAAGAAGAGAAGGGGTAAAAAGGCCTCAACAGATCGAGACCCTGCCACCATTTTTGATAACCAGGCCATGTGCAGAGAAAAGAAAAGCATTGGGCAGAAGTAAAGACGCGGTATTGAGAAGAGAATTGCCACTGTGAAGTTGCTCGTATCACTCTCGACAACTTGGCGGGCAAAATCGTCAGGGTAAAAGGGAAAAGGGATAAAACTGGGGATCTAGAATCAAAGCAGAGCATATGGGTGTCGTCACGGCGTTTCGTCATGAATGATATAAAGGGCCAACTCAATGGGCCAGAAGTTCTCCCCTGTTCCCAGTGTAATCCAAGGGAGATGGTAGACCAATATCCGAGGGAAAAGAGAGCAGGAAATGGTTCTTTTCAATAAAAAAAGAACTCATTTGATGAGATATTGCGGATAGTACGGTTGCTTCATTCGATCAGCATCCGTCCGCTTCTTCATGCGCTCGGCATCGTAATCATCGGCGCCATCACGGCTACCCCATGTTGTCTGTTAAAAAGCTCAAAGTCAGTCCAGCTCTATGGTCAATGCGAAAAGCCAAAAAAAAAATAAAAAATTCAAATAAAAAAAAAGGCAGATGCGCGATCTAAAACAATCGAGGGGAATAGTGGGTAAAAGCTGCAAGAGGGAGGAGACAGTGATCAAAGCGTTATGATGCTGAGCTCTCATAGGAGGAGTTGCGCTTTGATACACACGGCATATGCACCCGATAAGACCAAAAAAAAAAACAAGAAATGAGAAAGAAATTAAAACATACCACATTCAATGTCATTACGGCGTACATCTTGATCGCGCCGTGGAAATAACCGAAGAGGACGGAGATGGGTAGCAACATCACGTCGACTGGATAGCGAAGATAATGACCCAACAACTTAATCCACTTGCTAGTGAAGATCCAGATGTAAAGCATAGTCATGGATTGATCGTGGAATGACTCTCCCCATGATCCAGTTGCCTTGTGGCACAGCCAGACAAGTAAAATGTCACCTAAAAAGGCAGGCGGCGACAAAGTGGTCAGGTGAACGGCATAAGCACTCCAAGGTTGACGACTATAAAAAAAAATGTTAGCATTCTTGAGCCAAAATATAATTTAGGTTGCTTCAAAGGTCACACCAAGATCTTATAGACTTGGACCAAAGAATCTTTTTGACCCGAGAAAAAACAAACCAAAAGGTACCGAGATAAGAGGGTAAGAGTCAAGGTATAAACACCAATCGGACATAAGAGGGGGACCAAAAAAAAAAAAAAGTTGCACTCACTGCCAAATGTGCTTCTCGTGAAACATTGAAGTCAGATTGCTCCGCCAATTACTTCTTGACCAACGGGCGCATTGCTTCAAGAAACGAGGGTTGTCCTCGAGGGTAGTCAGCACCTCTGCCTCTGGGTGGTACTGCATATAAGTTTCCCATCCGTGCGAGACCATCCAACGGGTGATAAAGTTATCATCGTCGGCGTTGAGTTGATACTTGCCCCACCACCATTCCTCATTGGTGAAAGCATAGGTGAAGGCCTCATTCTGCAGAATTTGCGTCCGATACGCAACCGTCCGTCCCGACATGCAGGGAAGTCCACCGTCCACATGGGTAGTCGCGCCGCAGTCGAAGTTGCGTCGTTCCAGGTACAAAGCACCCAAGAAGCCCCAGACTCGCTGTGAGATGCTCGGTGCAATGGCTCGGCGCAATCGCTGACAGGTCACCACCCCACCGTATTTCTCGTCCTTTTCAAAGGGGGCCAGAATCCAAGGAAGGAGAGTACGAGGCCAGCTCACGTCGTCATCGGCGAGAAGGGTGATAGCAGTTCGGACCTCGGGAATAGCTTGGGTCATTTGACGACGCTTGTTGGGATGCTTGACCGTGAACAATCGGATTCGAGATCCCGATGCTGGCATGGCTTGCAGCATCTGCTCCGCCTTGATGCGATTGGCCTCGATTGTCACCAGGAGCAATTCAAAGGGTTGATTTTCAAGAATGGTCCGTATGGTCTCTACCAGTTCGACGCCACAGCCCTCCAACGATGGAATGATCACCGTCACATCTTGTGAGGTCAATTTGGGGTTCTCCGGTGGTGGGATTGGCTTGAATGTCCAAAAGGAGAACAAGTTAAACACGAGCCGAGTATAGCGATAGAGACTTATCCCTCGTTAGCTGGGTTCAGATTGAGCTCCCCAGATGTACTCACAAGAGTGTGACGAATGCTCGCAGAAACGGGAATGCCATGGTGTGAAACTCGGACTTGTCCCCACGTAACCCTAACTATTGGGGGTGGATTCTCTTTTGGAAGGTATAAGCAACTCTTGATCAACAATTGCCTAGACAAAGTCAAAACGAATGTCAAGGAGACAATGCTTCCTTTATGGAAAAGAGAAAGGGGAAAAAAGAGATAAGTACTTTGAATTGAAGGGAGACAGAGATTATAAAGTAAGAAAGGCAGCACATGAAAATAAAAATAAAAATAAAATATATAGATAATATAAAAAAAATATAAAAAAGAATTAATAAAAACTAAAATAAATAAAACTAAAAAGCTCATCGTTTTGAGTGTGCTGCAGGTGGTAGTTTTTGCCTCGTGCGTCAGAGACCCTGGATCTAGAGTCTAGGGGACCTACGTATCTTTTATGTATCTTATGATATTTAGCTATTTAGCTATTCAGCTATTCAACTATTTAACTATTTAACTATTTAACTATTTGACTATCTACCTATTTAGCTATTTAGCTATTTAAGATAATTTGTATTCATCTCATGTTTCCTGTGGGGAACATATGCATGTACCTTTCTTGTTTTGTTTTCGTCCTTTTTTTTATACTAACTCGTTTAGTGACAGTAAAAATTAAGGGAAAATATAAGATCATAGTAGGCAACCATTTAGGTTAGTTGCATAGATACTTGATAGTCAGGTCTTTATAAGCAATGCAACCCTATGGAAGGTACTTTGTTCCCAAGTACCATTCTTTTCTTTAGAACATATCCTTTGTCTTTCGAGGTTAAAATATCTCTATAAATTCCTCTATAACTTTGGATAAGTGATTTGTGGAACTCCGACATTCCGCAAAACGGAAGAGATTCAAAAGTACAATTACTTTTTTTGGTTCTCGGAGAAGGATTAACGGATTAATTAGCATATTACATTCTGAAGATTTTGAAAAATACGGATAATCCTAGTGGCGATCGCTAAACTCGTGTACAGCTTCCATGTGGGGCATGGGGTTTGATATAGCAAGGAAAAGGATAGAAAACATAGAAATCGAAAATATAGAAAGTAGGCAAAGACAGATCGCCTGATATTGCGCGTTTAATGCCAAAGGGCAACCAGCTGCCTCGGTGGCGTGAAGGTAAATAATCCCGGTCACGAGTATACAGTGTGAAAGTGAACCTGGTCCGTGCTTTAATATTATAACTCATAAAAATATGATATCTAATATAGTATGTATATTATATATATACATTTATGTTAACATGTTTAATTCAGAATCTAATGAAATCAGGAATTGATACCGGTCAATACCACAACCGCTTCGCGCCAGTGTTTGGCGTCTAAAAGGTGTTCCAGCCTTAGCAGAATGGGGGCACGGCCGGAGAGGATAGGATTAATGCATCTGCAGAAGGCCTAATAGGGATATCTCTTGGTGATCGTCCAAACTCGCAATCTGGTACTTTTGAGGGGGAAAATGGCTAAGACCTCTTCTCTCTTCACAGGGTTCTACAAGTGGCAATTTATGGGGTTCGTTTCGTTTCATTTTCTTTCTTATCTGCAACAGTTCCATCTGGGTTCTCTGCATATGCACCTATATTCCCGTACCTTGTATATTTAGCACCGTTTTTTTTTTTTATTTCTCCGGCCGAGCCGAAAGGGACTCTTTTGAAAAGTACAAAATAGCCACGGTGTCTGGCCGCGCCCAGATCACGTCTTGAGTGAAACAGACGCGTATCTCGGCTGCACGGACTCCCAGTATTGAACCCGCTCTCCACCGGCCGGGAATGGCCGGATTTCTATTTCACTTTCAATATGATTTGTGAAAGAGAGGGTAGGGAGGGGGCCTGTTGTGGGTTTTTTTATTTTATTACGCATAGACCCGAGGTCACTCCGGGATATCAAATGGGGGCCAAACGGGATCGTCTGTCACGGGAAAAAGGGGCGATGACATGCAGTCGATCAGAGAAATTTCCCCCATTACAGAGAAAAGTTAACTAAGGTACATCTACCATATGTTGCTAGTATTATTCAGAGATTTAGATCGGCTGTGGGGCATATATTTAGAACTTTTCAGAGAATATAAACCCATTATGATTTTGTCCAAATTATATAAAACCAGAATGTAAACCTAAGTACTCCGTAGCAGAAAATCATATAATAGTTTCTGTGTTAATAGTATCTTAGTATAATTGGTCCAGTGGGAAAAACATCCGTGCCATTCTAGCCGCTCTCTA